ATATTTAATATCAGAAATGCATTTTTTACCTGTTTAAGCGTTAAACTAAGTATTTGTTTCAAATCAAATTAATTAAACTTTAAATCAGCTAATCTTCAAATAAAGTCTTAGAAAGTACAACTTTTTAAACATTTTTTAATAAAGAGAATTACATCGTAATGACAGATCGCTAAATATTGCGCTAAAATCAGCTATTTTAAAACGAAAACTCTTTCGAGTCAATTTAAATTATTTTTCAAATATAGAAAAAGTATTTTACTTATTGGAAATATTAAATTTAGTGTATTAACTTGAAATTCAAACTTAAATAAAAACTTCAAGAAAGATTTTTAATCTTTTTAAAATTCATTTTAAACCTGAGGTATCGCATTTCTGTGAAGTTACGTACGTTGCTGTACGTCGGCATTTACAGAAATCATCACGTTTACACGTACACACACAAATACAAATTCAATTCTTTTATATGTCCACTGTAGATAAAATGTCAATGAAGCTGTCAACATCTTAAACAACTAAAGCCGTGTTAAAAATGCTTTTTTGCGATATTTTAAACTTAAAATATTTGCTTCAAATCAGTTTAATTAAACTGTAGTGTAAATCGGCAACTATTTCGCACATAAGTTTGAAAAAAGTATATTTTTTTTTTTTTTATAATGGGAACTGCATTACCGGGGAAAGTGGACTGAAAGCCATATCTTGTTTTCTGCTCATAATTGAAAAATACATTTTTTCAAGTAAAGAAAATAAGTAAATTATTTTGTTTACCAATAAAAAAGTTGTAGTCCTGACATGATTTAAGTTATTAATTTATTTTTGTTACCTGCGCAAGATACTATTTTCAAGATGAGTGAAAACGAGGAAGATAAATTTAGTAAGGCGTTACTAAATCATTGAATTGTACTTTAATTTTTTATATATATGTATATATAACTGATCATATTTCACAAATGTAAATAAAAAGTGTATGATTTCTCCATATGAGAAATAAATATAATTTCATGAGAATGTGTATAAAAATTCTTTTAACTCGTCGCTCTTGCTCTATTTTGAGGTTTAATTCATCAGAATCCGGATGATAAGCTCAATTATGTATTAATCTCATTGGCTGATGAAGTTTGCATCGCATTTGCACCAGGCTTTTTTAAGCAACGCTATTAAGTTGCCACTGTCGTATATTTCATTTTATCTTGAAATTGTTTAAGGCTAATAGCATCTAAAATACTATCTTGTCCTGTTGCTTTGTTCTTTTTCATCTTGCCCATTGCAGATTTCACCCCAGACTTTAATATTTAAGAAAAAGATGTTTCCACATTTATATTCATACTTTCGTTCATACTGTTTGTTGTTCTTTGCAGACCGTGAGCGCTTCTACAGCTCGTATCTCCGTAACACTTCTCATTTAGCAATATTGTCAGACCTTTTCTGTTTTTCGTAGTCACGAACTGATATGTTGCATAGTGCACGTGTTGATGACGTTATGTGACATCTGAATTTTAACCTCAACAGAAAAAGGTTAACAGCTGGTCACTGAAAATGCATGAATTTTAACCTGTTAAAAAAAAAGTACATATGTATCACACAACCACCTATATTTGGGGTTAAAAAAAACTGATCATAAAAACAATACAGTATTTGAAGAACAATAAGTAAGTCTCTAGCGCGAACCTCCTACGACCATTTTGGTTAAAAAAACTTAACCAGTGCAACACGTTACACCCGATGAACACTTCCGTTTCGCATCATTTGTTATTGGGCGATTATGTTTAACGTATAATTTATTTTAAAGTTTTTTTTTCTCTCCAACGTTCTCAGTTGAATTAGGATCTACTTTATATTATCATTTCAATAAAAATGACAAATGTTATTTTCGACATATTTAATGTAAATTAATATATTGAAGACCAAGAATCTTAAAGTCAGGAGAGCGGAAACATTTCTTTATTTGGAAATTCTTGTAAAAATCAATAATTGTCTGATTTTAATGTAACTTTCGGGACTTATTCAAAAATTAATGAATTTATTTTTAGAAAATCTCGGTAAAAATATTTTTTTACTGTTACCCCCACCACCACCACATAAATTAATTTATGAAATTTTCTAGAATTTCAAACAATTCGCAAATTGTTTTATATTACTTATAAACAGGATTCCTTGGAGAAATTAAATCATCAAATTTTTTTTTCACAACTACTGCCAACTTTTTAAAAATCTGCTCTAAATCGTAAAATAAAACCTGCAATAAAACGATCTAATTATCGAATTAGATAGGCTTTTATTTAATATCCATTTAAGCATTATTGTCTGAAGAAAAAAAAATTTTTCAATGAATAAATAATTTTTACAAGAATCGTTTGCATTTTTCTTTTAGTTTTTTTTCATTTTTACTTTAATTTTAAAAAATGTTTTAAAATTCTTCCAAAGAGAGTACGAGGTAGGTTATTAGGTTTTTAAGTGAAGACTATATTTACTAAGCGAAAATTAAAAGCTTAATACAAGTCATGCTACCAAAACTGTTTACCATAATTAAAGATTTTTTTTATCCGTCAAATGTTAAAATTTTTTTCGTATATATTTCGTAAGTGACATTATGGTTAAAAGGTCACGAATTTCAAGGCGGAGACAAGCCTTGAAATTTGGGACCTTTAACCACTTACGAAATATATACGAAAAAATATTTAACATTTTGACGGACAAAAAAAAAATCTTTAATTATGCTATTGAAGGTATTCTCACACTCAGTTATTTAAATTAAAAATTAAATTGAGATAATAAAATTATCTCATTTATCAATTTAAAAAATTAATAACTGAGTGAGATATTTTAATTATTATAATAATATTTTTATTATTATCTCAGTTATTAAATTAAAGATGCAATAACTTAATGTAATATTAATAATTAATAAAATTGTTTATTATCTATTAAATAATGAAAGAGATAGAGGTAACTCAATATTGTAAGAAATTTTTATAGTATTTTAAATTATAAGAAACAAAAAACCTTTATGTTAATTTTGGTACTCCGTACTAAACTTGTCAACACATTCAACCATCAAATTATCGATGGAGATGTGAAAATAACAATACCCTGATGTCAATAAATGTTTATCTAGACAATTTATGCTATCAGTGATGTGTTTTAGAACAGATTAATTTAATTTTAAATTTGCTAATTTTACTAAAGTAACATTTCAGAAATGTATTTCTTATTTTAGCGAGATTTTCAAAAAGGAAAAAATAAATTTTGTCGAAATTTCTCTAAAAAAGTTAAAAATGGCCGTTTCGATTGGTTTTTCGGAGGAATCGACTAAAAATCATTCAAATTTCTATTTGAAATACTCCACGGTATTTTTTCTGGAATTAGAAAATTTAATCCTTTAGCTTTCAATTCATGCTGGGGGAAAGCTTCGAAACGGATTTTCCTTTATGAAAAATACATTTCAACCTTAGATATACGAATTTTTGGAGGTACCTAGTCTACGGAAAGTGAAAAAGATCGATGACAAAGCTGTTCATGATGGACATAGCTTTGCTAGAGACACTATGGACCTGCTTCAATACTTTGTAAATGTAGATGGAGTAGCTTTCCTTCCTTTTTTTTTCTTACCCTCACCACCACGGGAAGCCTTAGCTTTACCGGCCTTTTTAGCACCCTTTGAACTAACTTCAGTCGGAGCCATCGTTAATGTTATTGTTAACAGAATGTTGCCAGTAACTGAATATACATCAGCCAAGTCGGCTCCCACAGCAACCTTGCTTTGCTGAGTTTTCATTGGTCAAAAAATAAGAAGGGAGTATTTTTTTTAAATGTGAGCGGTAAAATATCAGCAACTGACAGGAGCCTACTGTAAGCTTATTTAAAGCTAGCTGCATAATGAATAAATGGTGAGTGGAAGTTCACTCCACGTTTGTATTGTGATTCTAATTATTTTCTTATTCCCGGCCTATCTGATTCTTTGAAAACTTACCTGACCACGACTTGTTTTTTGTTTTTAAAATAGAAAAGATTTATTATTTTTCACAAATAGTTTTACCATCAAAACTGTCTGATCTTTATTAAGTTAAATGGGGTGATTCTATCGAATCACACAAAATTTGGCAATAATAAAAATAAAATAAGATGAAAAAAAATTTACAGAAAGTAAAGCCACGCCAAATTTAAAATTAGGTTACCTTGCTTGACTATATCAATTATACTAAGACAAATAATTTCTCTACTGATTGGAAGGAGAGCAACTGTCTTACGGTCAGTAAGATGACATTCTTGATAAAAGAACTTTCAAAACAATGATGGTATTTTAAATTTATTCAACTATTATTTCTATTTCGATAAAAGATCATTGCATATGTGACAATAGATAAAAAATGAAATTCATACAAATTTTAAGGGAAAATGAGTCGGGTTGTGTTGTGTAATAATAATCTTGTCTCACAAAATAAGCACTAAAAAGTGAATTCAATACACCTGGCGATTCACACCCTAACACACACACAACAAACAATTGTTTTTCGACATTTTTCTTAAACCATTTCGACAATGGTTTAAGTTATGTTCTTAATGCTCAACGTATATGAAACACGAGAAAGTGCTTCCGATAACTATCACATTAAAAAGACGTGCGTTTGACTTTAACGCGGGATTCTAAGAGAAGAGCATGGATATCCCGCCTATGTGGAGATGAGAAATATTCACTTTAAAAAAAATGAAAAAATAAATAAATATGAGCGCGATAGATATCATGTCATGTGCTACATTCTTCAAATTTATCTTCTTGTCACTCCTATTGTGTGAATTTGGAAAAACTTTTCCACAGAGCGAAAATTATAGGAAAAAATAAGGAAATGGTTATTTATCTCAGTGTAGAAATTTTCGATTTCATAGATATTTTCCGTTGTTTGTACTGAATAATACTTGATGAATATTCGATATGAATTAATTACTGTATGTGTGTTTGACAGATTGCTAAATAAAAGCTTATTTACGATGAACGGTGGTTTGTTTATGGCCATATCACGTTGAACACATCTGTTCTAGTCCGATCACCGAAGTTAAGCAACGTCGAGCCTAGTCAGTACTTAGGTCGGTGACCACTTATGAATAGCAGTCCTGTAAGTGTTTTGTGTGGCAGGAAATGCCGCTAGAGACGAAACTTGAAATATTCACTAATTTTCGCCGTTTCATTATATACTACTACATTTCTAACAGAGATTTTGACTTGCTAAAATTTCCTTTCAATTTACAGATAATTATGTAAACAAAAAGAAAATGCACTGCACTTTTTTAGCCATAAAGCATTGAGAGAATTTAAAAAATCCTTTCACCGATATATTGACTGGAAATCGATTTCGAAACTCACATGTGTTAATATGGCATAGCAGAAGCGAAGTACAATTCCCACAGAAAATTGAAAGGTTTCCGCTTTAATTAATTCAGATAATCATTTCAATGTCATTAAACGTAGGATATCTAACACACATCAGTGGCTTGTTTAACTGTATGGCGCAATAAACTAGTCATCAATTTATCGAATACACAATCAACAAAGAAATGAAGTGGTGGCAAAATAAAAATTCCGGCTAATGGTTCGTAAATTTACACAGGACAGGAATTGAACCTAGCCGCCAGCGCGACAGGCGAGCATTCTACTACTGAGCCACCGATGCTAACAGTAATTGCATTTTTTCGACCCTTCATATTCTTACTTTTATTGTGTATTCTATATTCCGAAATGTCACTTTGATTATCGGGAATAAAATATACAATTATAAATTTCTTCTTCGAAAAATGTTTTCTCACTGTCATTACATTGGTTTGGAAAACACTCAATAATGAATAAATGAACATTTCGATAAACAACTCTTTCTTCAGTATCAGCCGACACTTTGTAACATTATTGTCAGCCTTGACAGGTTTTACTCATAGTTTACATCTCTTAAATGCTGGGCACCTCGAGGCGGTGTAATGGTTAGCAAGCTTGTTTTGCTAGAACAATTACGTCTGAGTAGTGACTTCGATTCTCACTGGGTGCCCCATAATTTCGGCCTTGTGCTACATCTAAGCTATGCTTGGAAAATCATTACATCTCTTAAATGCTTGATCATTGATTCCAACTAAAGAAAATAAACGCTGAAAATTTGAATACGGATGAAACCGGCCTTTGCTTTGCAACAGGGACTTGTATTAGAAAACGTTCAAATTGTGATTAATATGCAAAAGTTAATTATACAAAAAGAAAAATTGGAAAAAAGACATATCCGATTTTAATTTACTGAAACGTCATACTAACGTCAGACCCCTGTTACACGTGAACGCAATTTTTCGGCCATAATCTGAAGATTGGTTTCAATCATGAAACACTGTCGTCGTTGTTTTTTTGATCTCAGTGTTACTTTTATATATAATGATAAATATTTTAAGCATGAAACAGACGGTGGTCACTGGGTGTTGACTTCAATTTCCACCTTTATATTCACATACGATCTATTCCTTTAAGCCATAAATATTATCATATATATATATATATATATAATAATCTTATGAATATAACTAATTGTACTCGTTTGGAAAAAAGCTTAGGTGTTTTAGCTTGTAAATAAACAAACCAAGGAAAAATAAGGAATAAAAAAAAGAAAGAACTAAGAACATGCAATTCAGGCGAAAACAATCGTCCAGAATCCAAGGCCAGTCCAAAGAAAAAAAACTCTCCAACACGGGTAAAGCAAAAATAACTAATAAACAAAATAACTAAGTTAAGTGCTCAATACACTAAATAGAGAAAATCTAACTATGAACCTAAAGAGCCAGGCAAACCTACCTAGGTTTCACCTACGCGGATCGTCAGAGTACGACGTAGGGTGTATATATATATATATATATATATATATATATACACACGTTTCATTAAAAACGACAGACAAGGTACTACGTTTAAGATGTTTATTTAATTTTTCTTGTGTTCGAACAAGAGCTTTCTTTTAAGGCCACAATGTGCTAACCGTATTCGGAAATTAATGACACACCCTGAATGCTGAAAAACTGAATCATCCTAGATAATAACAAAATGGTATAGCCGAAAGCACTCGGAAATATAAGACATTTTTTACACACTCTGTGACTAAAAAAGAAAACTCTTGTTCGAACACAAGAAAAATTAAATAAAAGGGTGAACCGTAGTACGTTGACTGCCGTATTTAACGAAACATGTATAAACGAAAAATTGCTGCCGAAATATATATATAAGATAATTTAATAACTCTTAAATTCAGAATAATTTAAAAAAATATTGTGATTTGACATAACCATTTTTAGGCATTAGAATTCAAAATCAGATCTCCGATTTGCCATTCCAAGTCGTTATCTATTACATCAAAACGGCGTGAGTGGCTTCCCTTTAATCATTAAATGTAATAAATGAAATCTACAACAATGGGGATATACCAGAAGATCTCAGCAGATGTATTTTCATAGCAATACCTAAGAAACCAGGCGCAAACGAATGTGAACGCCACCGAACAATGAACCTAATGAGCTACGTAACAAAACTCATCATCCGTATTCTGATGAATAGAGCGCGCTGCAGAATCAGGCCAGAGATAGGACAAGAACAGTTTGGGTTCGTTAAAGACACCGGAACAAGGAACGCGATATTCATGCTCAGAATGTTATCAAAAAGAGCAAAACAAATGCAGAAGGACGTGTAGCTGCTTTTTATAGACTATGCAAAGGCCTTCGGCAAAGTACGCCACCACTGCGCAACAACCTTGATTCGGGAAAGATAGAATAATCAAGAACCTACTGTCAGCAGACAGTATGCATGCGCATAGAGAATGAGTTCAGCGAATATACAAAAATAGAAAGGGGCGTAAAGCAAGGATGCGTCTTCTCACTGGACCTATTTAACCCATACAGAGAGGCAGTTCTGAGAGAAGCATTAGAATTCAAACTCAGATCTCCGATATTTCATTCCGAGCCGTTATCCATTACATCAAAACGGCGGGAGTAGCTTCCCTTTAATCATTAAAAATATCGCTAATATGAGAACCCTCCGAAACGAAGGAAAAACTTTACAGTGAAAAGAGGAATCTAAGATAAATTAACCTTAATCACACAGGCAAGTTAAAAAGTATTTTATTATTTTCTGTTCTTAACTGAAAAAAATATTTCTATTTCAAGTAAAGAAAATAAATATATTATCTTGTTTACTAATAAGAAAAGTTATAGTCATGACATGATATATTAACTTATTAAGTTATTTATTAATTTATTTTCGTTACCTGTGCAAGATGCTCTTTTCGGTATGAGTGAGAAAGAGGAAGCTAAACTTAGTAAAAAGGAATCACTAAATCAGTACAACGTATTATAGATTTGTTATTACTGATCAAATTCAGAAAGGTAAATAAAGATGTATTGTTTAAAATATTTTTTTAAAATTTAAAGCTACTGGGTAGTTAAAATACAAAAAAAATAAAAAAGCAAAGCATTCACCAGGGAATTTATTTCAGTTCTGCCATATTTAATTTTTTTCTCAATTTGTCATTACGACCAATGCCACAATACATAAGCAAGTCATCTGCTGCGTTTTGTGCTATGTAACTAAAATGTTATTTATTTAGTTTCATATTCAGGAAGTATTGAACATAAACAAGAAATTGTAAGAAGATTTTTTTTGTTATTTCATACGTACAATGTAATTTTATGACCCCCCCCAACCCCGTTCAAATAAAATATTACCATCAAACTCTTTTAAGGGGACAGATCAATTATTTTTTGGATACAAAATCATGTTTTTCCTTGCGAAATTTGAGCTTTTTTTGCTGCATTGAAAACATTGATTCAGAAATTCTTTCAACAATTTTGTAAATGTCTGATTTTAATGAAACTTATTCAAAAAAAGAATGAAATTAAATGTTGCAAACATTTTTTAAAAACACTTTATAAAAGAGGTTTTATAATTTATAAGTTTCTCAAACCAATATTCTTATTCACATAGAAGATTACGGCATAAATTATTACTTTTATTTTAGTGACACTGGCAACGAGAAAGCACGTAAGTTCGAGTGTTGCTGTTTAAATAACAATCCGGTAAAAGATAACTATAAAAAGCAATTCAAACCTTTTTAGGTTTCACATATTTTGGGGATTTGTGTCAAATTAATCTAAACCAAGTAAATAAAGAAAATAAGATCGATATGAGCAACTTTTGGTTTGATTATTATTTTCTTCTATTATTAATGTTCTTTTCATGCGTGTCAGTTAATTGTTTTAGAGTTGAACACTCGACGAAATTACAAGCTAATGTTTTTCTATTCGTCTTTCACACATATAGGGAGGAAAATAGTTTATTCACTGTCAATTTAGTTTTTCTTCTGCTGACCGGGTCATATGAGTTCAAGGGGGTATAATCATTTCGATTTCTATGGAGAATCATGCATTTTAATTCACTTTTTAGGATTATGACCAGTTATTAAAAAAAAATAAAAGGTATGTCTATATCTCTCTCTCTAAAATCACCGAAAACAGTATCTTGCGCAGGTAACGAGAAAGTAAATATTAGATAATCTCATGATTATAACTTTATTAGTTAAAAAAAAAAAGAAAAGAAATTCACTTTTTATAAACAGAAACTCATAAGATATCTTAATTTTCATGAGATTTATTTCCCCTATATATATATTTCGTTCTTATTGTAGTTTTCATTCCGTTTTCGCAGTGTAGGTATTCCTTCTTTGAAATTACATTTCGCTTTTTTTTTTAAATACCTAAAACCTAATCAGAATTAATTTCTGTATTGGCAATTTCTTAAAATATTGGATTTTTTTAAAAGATTACTGGGTAGAAAACATTCTAGGCAGTACATAAAAGTGTCAGCATCTCATAAAACACTCATCTTAGTGTTATAAAAATGCTTTTCTGTTATATCTTAAAACAGAAGCCATATTTGTTTTCATTCAGATTAATTAAACTTTAAATTAGCTGTTTTTTCTCAAAAAATTATCTGCTGGGTATCATGAAAAACATCCTCAGATGAAGATGGAATAGTAAGTGCATTGTTTTCAGTATGATCCACATCAAACAAACAATATTCAGAATTTTAGTGTGTGTAA